CTTTTTATTTTTTTTTTTAAATAAAGGTTTAAATAGGGGGTCAAAAAAAAAAAAAAAAAAAAAAAAAAAAAACTTTTTTTTTTTTTTTTTTGATTATAAATTATCTACGTTCGGAACCAAAAATCATTTCAAGACAATAAAATACTGTATATCTGATATGCGCTACCTGTACGTGTATATACGTAAGAACCCAATAATATGGTCACATAAATATTACTACAGTATACTGCCATGCACTTACAGTATACCGCCAACAAGCATCAGTAACACATTGAGGGACAGTATAGGTTGTGTTCACATTACGTTCTAGCACGTGCGGCAGTGTCACGCGTGAACATGTTCGAGGGTGGAAGATTTTATAAGTCGCAGCATAAACATGAAGAATCCTTTTTTTTTTTTTTTTTAAAGCAGATATTTTTTCGCTGAGTAAACCTGTAAAAATTTTTTATTCGAATTCTATGATGAACAATTTTAAATAAGTAGTGAATAATCCCTGTCTGAATCTTCAAATTTTCATGACCAACAATTAATGTTATCGTAAACAAAATTTTTAACAACGGTTTTATTAGAAGTTAGTCTTTCGATAACTATTTATTTATTATTATGGAATAAAGGAAACAACTTACAGAAGAAAAATGTAGTCAAAATTATGTTTAGAGTTAGTCAAAATGGCAAGTGCCGTAAAATTCTTTGACGTTGTTGCTTATTGCATAAAGACTGGAGAGATGAAGTCTTTCCCTTGTACGGCAGCAACTTCCAAAATGTACAAGATAATCATCATCTTATATAGCTTTTTTTTAAAAGATAAAAGTATAGTTTAAGGATTTTAACAAATGAGTTCATCAAATAATATCTATAAAAATCTTTACACTTATACACTTATAATACAAGTCCATTTTATGAACAGGTTTTCTTATTAAAAATAAAATAATTTAGAGGAAAAACTTCTTATTTAAAATAGGTTGAAGATAAAATAAAAAGTAATAAAATAAAATATGTGAATTTTTATCTGAACCAATCAATCCTGATTTGAAGTGTTTAAGGTAAATAGTTGTGTAAATTTCTTAAGAGAATCTAATAATAATAATGGTAATAATATTATTATTCTTATTCTTATTGGTTATTTGATTTTAATGTTTAGATAAAAAAAAATACAATTATTTGATGATGCTTTAGTATATATAGTCCTAGACCTTTGATTTAAGTTTTTTATATTATAAGTTCAAAAGATAACACCAAGGTTTTTCATAATTGTTTAGAATCATATTTAGAAATTTCTAAAGCATTATTAGAAAAAATTAATTTTATTATGATAATTATTCAAAAAATTTTATACAGAAAGATTTGTTGCAAGTAACTATTGAGAAGGGGTATCGATTCACATCCTAAACGTTCAAATAATACCAATATCAATCTAATTGAACATATCTGCAATGAATTGTAGCATTAATAAATATGTTCATGAGTCTGAATTATTTACTTTTGAAAATAAGTGTGAAGCAAGTATTGTCATAAGGTTGCTATGAAAAATAAAATGAATAATTTTCTGTTTTTATAATACAACTTGACCTCTCTTCGTTGATTTTCGTCGAGTAAAATAATTTTAAATGTTGCATTGCCTAATATTTCTGTTGTATAATTTTCTTTAGTCGGATCTTTTTTAGAGCTCATTATCATATACACCACAATTTAGCTTTTACATTGTTTCTCAGACATATAATAAAAAAAGGAAAAAAAAAACAATGATGAATTCTCATTATACATGACCGATCCTGTTAACGGAATTATTTATGAACGCGGACATTAGTGTTGTTTACTCAGCATGTTTTATTATAATATACTGTAAATATGAAATGTTAATTTCCTTTTTACAGTTATTACCCATCAAACTAATTGCTTTCTTTATATCATCCAAAGAAATTTTATAGTCTTCTATTATTTTTTACAACAACTACATTAATTCATATAATAATTTCCAGGGTATGCTGATCTCCATCTGAATAATGCAAGGTCATACAACCCGATTATTATATCTGAGACCACCATCACGACCAATACTGCCGTCACTACGCTATCTCTGTCACTATTATCAATGCTCCAGAATTGGCGTTTTTAAAAGGAATAAGCAGAATGTTAAACTGCAATATCAATAAGCGTAAGATAGTCATGGAGAGTGTGACCAATCTGTTTTCTTGCCATGTCGGTACGTTACGACCGAGACATCGACCTTTGCTCTTACCTCCACTATTGTTTCCACTGAAGTTCAGTATGTCACAATTGTTAACTTGGTGTTGCACGTGTAACCTAAGGTAGAAACGATAGAGGTATGCAGTGTCTCCACTAGAATAGACACGGCTAGCACCACAACAATCCAACCAAGTAAGCTCGAGTCATGTATTTGGTCAAGTGAACAATACTAACTACTATGTATATTTCAACGATGGTCCTAAAATATTTCCTTCTCTATGCACATACATGCCCTGTATACTTACTGTATACAGTAAACTATGATTAACTTTTATAGTTTCCTCCTTTTAACACGGGTCCCACACCACTTACATAATGCACCGGTCCAATACACGTAATTTCAAAGTTTCTACAATGCAAATTAGTAACCATGCGTTCCGGGTTCACTTCCGGATTGACGTCTTCATCGTGTTACGCGTACTGCGTCAATCACGTGGCCCTAAACAACATATTTTCGGTAAAAGAAATAATAAATATGCTTTATTAATCTAACATTAGCATACTGTAGCAACTTCTAAATAATTTTTTGTCAAATACAAGCACTAGCATATTTGTCAAATTTCTGATGTAAATATGAAATTTTATTATTTTATAGTTACAATACTACGTAAAACATTTCGGTATCCACTGTTAATTCCACCGACATTGCATTCGCAATCATTTCACTACCATCACTTTCACCTTCATGGCTACATGCTTACCCACCGGTACTATTTCATATTGGTTATTGTTTTGATTATAGGGTAATAAATATTTAATTAAATTTAATAAATAAATAAATATATATACAGCATTTAAGAATATAAAGAACAAAGCTATTTAAAAAAATTCCAAAGAAAAATTTATAATAGAAGTTTTTTTATATTTCAATTCTTTTAAAAAAAATTGATTTTAAGATATCTATAAAAATCGTCAATGGTATTTCTGCATATAACTTTGTTAGATGTAAAAAAAACAAACACCAAAATAATTTTTGTTCTATAAAATTTTTTTCATTTGAATAATTTCATTGAAATTTGTTTAAAAAAAAAAAATAATAATAATAAAATAATTTTTTATTGCATTGGCATTTTTAAAAATCTTCGACAGTTCATTGTTAAAAAAAAAACCCCCTTTTTTTTAAAAATTTACTATAGTAAAAATTTTATTTTATTTTTTTTTATTTTATTCCTATGGCTTGTCTTTAATATGTAAATTTGAATGGTGCCTTCAGCTTATCCCTGTATAAGCAAAAATTTTACTTTAAATCTACCCTTATATATAAATTTATATATATAGTATATCTGCAATTAAGCTTTTAAAAATATTTTTCCGCCTTAGAAAAATAAAATCCTCAATTAACTATTATCAAAACTTAAGTTTCTTTGATAATATTATAAATTAGAAATGTTTGAAACTAAAATAATCATTTATTGAGTCATAATAAAAAATAATTTTGACACATACTGTATGCATAACTTGTCAATAACTATTAATGATTACTTTTTTTTCCATTTATCGAATTCATTTTATCCTCCCATTTGGTCATTAACCGTGACTTGTTATTATAAATAAACTTAAAATATACTGCATAATGTAATACCATTTTATCTATTGAAAACGTTAGATTAATGTAAGAATAATTTATCTTTGCAAAATCCAAATATCTTCAACTTTTATTCTCTTTAAAATTTTTCTTTGCAATTTTCATCAAATCCTCATATTCACCACTTAATTCACACATTCGCTTAAACATTGATCGTGGATTCTGCAATAGTAAATATGGCGATTCAAATTCTATTATTTTACCTGCATCTAAGCAAAAAGTAAGAGACATCATAAATTAGAGGTGATTGATGTTTATAATAAAAATTTTATTATTCACGCTCGGATGTTTACCCAAAACAAGCACCCGATCATAATCCATCACGGTGCGTAAACGATGAGCGATCGTGATCACTGTAGCTTCGGAAAATTCTTCACGAATAGTTTCTTGAATTAAACGATCAGTTCGAAAATCTACGCTAGCTGTCGCCTCATCCATTATTATAATTTTCGAACGTCGCGCCAGTGCTCTCGCCAACGCTATTAGCTGTCGTTGGCCTTGAGAAAAGTTTCCACCATGCTCATGTACTTTTGCGTCAAGGTAAATTAGTTGATGAGGTTCCTGATTTTGAGAAAGTAGTCT